GTACACATTGTCACGTCAGTTGAATAGCTGTCCTCAATATCTGCTAGAAACATGCCATTTCCATATTCACTGATGACATTTCTGATGCCATAGCTGGGAGATGCTATGTGTGGGAGCACTGGCCCAATCAGCAAAGCACTTACCTCATAGACAAGTGCAGGACATGAAAGGGGTAAAAGCTCAGAGGGGACTTGGTCCCAATTCAAGGGGCTTTAAGTCTGAGAAGTCAGACAATTCAAATACGTGAAAGCTGAAATGATTTTTAGCTGGATATGCATCATAAAGCTAATTATAGCCAACCAGAACAATATAGTCCCCAGTTTACACTCTAGTTTTTCATCTGTAGAATGAAACTGTGAATGCGTTGGGGATTTTTGGTTTAGGCTTGTTTTTGTGGGTTTGTTGTTTTTGGGTTTTTTTGGTTTGATTTTTTTTTGTATGATCTTTAATTCCAACTACTCTTGGGATTATGTGACGTTAATCAGCATCACAAAACAAAACTTTGACAGTACTGCCATTCAATGGTAGCATCATGGCTTCTAGGTCAATGCTGAAGCTGTCCAATTTCCCAGTGAACTGTGAAATGCTGGTCAGCAGGTGCAAAACTTTGTGCCATAAAAAAGCCCCAAGAATTTGAAATCCCCTCCCCAACACTATAATAGTAATAATAATGAATTTAGTAATTTTTCAGATTTCCTTACTTTGGGCAATGCGGTTATTTTAAGACAACAGTACTGGTACATTTGTTTAAGTTTAGCCCAGAGATCTCAAAAAAGAAGAGAATGTCCTCATCCTAAAGAAGAAACACCCCCCCTCCCCTTTTTGGGGGAGGTCAAAATAGCTGTTTACTTTCAACAGTCCTGCTGCAAAAAACTGCCTAATAAAGTATGAGTTGTTTTTAAGGAATAAAGCAAGAAATACCAATAATATTGTGGAAGAGATTCTTCTTTGAGTTATTACTAGTCATTGTATGTTACGGGAAGGCATCTACACTGGGAACTTTCTACCATGGGATCCAAACACCGTATACACAGGATCTAGCATTTTAAATCCACTCAGTTTAGCAGAAAGGTTTGCATTTAAAAATGTGCAGGAGAAAATTAGCTGAGGACAAGATGGAATGGACCTTTAGCTGCCATGCAGTGCCAACTGATAAAACTGTTGCCAGAGTTTGCTGCCACACAGGAATGACTGTACTAAGAGTAAACTTTTTAACGCGGCAACATCTTTGCTCATGGCAACCTACAGAAACTTGGAATCAACTTAAATCCTACCCCCTCCTCTTCTGTCTCACTCCAAAGTATAGCAGCAGAATTTTAAATTGGTTGGAAAATGTCTGTTTTCTTTGGGGGGAAATGCATTTCAAGTACTCCATATGCTATTTTAGAAACTCGGTCTGATAAACTTGCTTGCACTGAATAAACCTCAACCTTGCGATTTAATTGGATGGGGCTATTCATAAAACAGACTACTACTCAGTATGAGAAGTACTTTACTCTTAAATCTTGAGAGCAGGATTATGCCAGAAGGATGCAGCCAATTCTAAGAGGTAGCATCCAACCTGGGGAATTTCAGAGCAGTACCCTTCACAGAGCAACTGCACTTTCCCTTGGGGCACATTATGCCCCCATTCACACTGTCTACTGCTGCTGGGTATTTATAAACTGAATTCGGAGGCAGAAATCCCTGCTCAGTGAATATATGAGTAGTATATGTTAAAGACAACAAAAATATTTTCTCTCTCACAGTGTCACATTTTGTTTAAACTCTGGAGAAAGCTCCTCCTCTTGTGTTTTTGTATTTCATGGGCCTCTGCTGCTTAAGAAACCTCTATGAAAGTCATAAATTTGAGGAGAACAGGGAATATAGCTAAACAGAGCTGAAAAGTATGT